TTCCTTGGAGGTTTTTAAGGCCCGGCTTGACAAAGCCCTGGCTGGGATGATTTAGCTGGGAATTGGTCCTGCTTTGAGCAGGGGGTTGGACTAGATGACCTCTTGAGGTCCCTTCCAACTGTGATATTCTATGATTCTATGGTGATGTTCTCCTCCTAATACATCATGGCAAGAAAATCTTCCAAATATTAATGATTAACCTGTTGAATTGGAGATAGTTCACCTCTCAATGACTTCATAAATATCTGCTTCAGTTACCTTTGGTAAATGAAATAACCAATCCATTTTCTGATATAGCTGTAAAACTAATCTGAAAAGTTTTCAAAATAAATCACTTTAAAAATGTATAGTGTAGGTTTCATTTTTAGAAGGTACACATCTATCTCTGAGTTGTGAAGAATATGTATTAAGGTTATAACAACCAAGAAGAATACACTTTTATGTAGAAATCCATGATTAAATCAAGTCTTCCTGACTAGTGATTTAAATCAAATCTACCCGGGCTCCACATATTAGTGGCACCTCTTGGGGGAAGTGCCAGACTTTTTGTTGCCTTCCTTTTTCTTCTGTAAGCTTACTGCAGCTCCTTCCCCTTTGCCTGGCATAGGCCCTCATCCTTGCTGTGTCCCCCTGCTTCTGCATCTCCTTTGCAATATCAGTATATACACATCTTGAATCCTGTGGGAATCCACAGCTGTGCCTGTACAACTCCATCTGCTTCACAGACTGAGGAAATCCAGGACCTCTTTCCTGGAACAGGTAGCAGCACAAGGTTTAGTTGGAATCATGCTTGTACAAGAGTGCTTGAGGAGGTGGCAGGCAGGTTAAGAGGTATTTCCAAAACATGCTGGCAAATTTAAATGGGAGGCAGGCTTCCAGTCACTATGAGCCCTGTGCAGCAGAATTCAAAAATTTGACCAGAGGGGTCACTGCTGCTGGGACAGCTGCATTGTGAGCTTGTTGCTGGAGGGCTGCATTTGCTGGTACAGATATTTCTGTCTTCTCACAGGCAATTTGATTGCACAACTATCAGGGCTGGCTCCAGGCACCAGCCCAGCAAGCAGGTGCTTGGGGCAGCCAAGGGGAAGGGGCGGCACGTCGGGCTCTTCGGCGGCAGGTTCCTCAGTCCCTCTCAGAGGGAAGGACCTGCCGCCGAATTGCCGCTGAAGAAAGCGGTGTGGTGGAGCTGCCGCCAAAATGCCGCCGATCACAATCATGGCTTTTCCTTTTTTTATTTTCCACCGCTTGGGGCGGCAAAAACCCTGGAGCCGGCCCTGACAACTATACTGATAGAGGTGTTATGTCACTTGGTGAACTGGTTTAATTTTTCCAGCAAAAGTTCAGGGCTTTGTTGGGTGGACTCAGTTTTTAGTGTGGATGTATGCAGAGCCGTGCTGAATAAAGTTTTGCCAGTAAAACCTTCTAGTGCAGACCAGACTTTAGAAATCTCAATCAGGATGAGGGCCTTGTTATGCGGGGTGCTGCACAGGGAGGAAGCATTTAAAACATTTTGGTCCTTATGTTCCATAATACATACCAAGACCCCAAAACATAACTAGTTTCAATAATAGCTTCAGAACAACTACAGTTTTCACTTAAAAGAAAAATGCTTTAGCATCCCATTTTGTCTCCCATAAAAACCCCTTTCATCCCTCTTCCTTTGTATTCAAAAAAAGTATATGAACATACAGGCCTTCCTATAGTATGTTTTCCCTAAAATTTCTCACCAGGGTAGCAACACTGAAAATACTAGCTAGATAAATCTCTGTCATCTTGACTTGCTCTGAGCAGGGTCAGATTGCTCTGTGATTAAAAAACTAGTGCTTGTGGGACTCATGTTAAGATGAGTGCAATAGTAATTCTTGCTTTCCATTCATTTAACTTAGGGGAGCGTGACATTTTCAGACAGAATGCTCTACTTCAGAGTACACAATGATATATTTTAAGTCAAATTACACATATGCAGAAATTTGATAACTTTAAAAATACACCTTTAGCCCGATATAATGCTGTCCTCGAGAGCCAAAAAAATCTTACCGCGTTATATCCAACTTGCTTTGATCTGCCGGAGTGCGCAGTCCCACCCCCCCCGGAGCACTGCTTTACCGTGTTATATCCAAATTCGTGTTATACTGGGTCACGTTATATCGGGGTAGAGGTGTATACATAAGGCCACATGCTCAGGTGGTTTTAATGTTGTAACTATTTCTGCAGAAAAACACATCTGGACAACTTCTCTTTTTTAACAGGACAGCATTAACTTTTTCATTATTATTAACATATCTGAAGTTACAAGAATGAGAAATTACTTACGATTTTTTTCAACAAACACCTTGCTCACAGGCTGGCTAGCACCAGTGGGAACAGCAAACACAGGTTGCTGATCTGGACTTTTTGTTTGTTCATCTTCAATAATGTCCTCTTCCTCCACTCCCAGTTCATTGGAACATTGCATTTCTGCTGGCCGAGTCTTCCTATCATCACAGGATATGTGGAGAGAAAAAGAACAATGTCTAAAGCTTTAAAGACTAATGCTCTAATACTGTAAACACATAAGTACATGCCTAATTTTACTGGTATGAATAGTATTGAATACTCACCTATAAAAAGTTTCTTCTGCGTGCAACTGCTTGTAGGATTAGAGCCTAAAATTCTTCTTTACGGAAGCATAAAATCACCATCATCAAGCAAACCCCCAATAACTATTTTAATATTTTACTTTTGTTTTGTGACAAACCACTCAGGTGGGAAAAGAAAGACATGAAAAGATTATTGTAATAGAAAGAATGCAGAAGAAATAAGTTGAAGAAAAAATCTAAAGAAATTGAAATACTTAGGCAGGAAGAGAAGCAAAAGTGTTTTAAAGGAGCAACATTCAGAAGCTGAAGGAAAGTGGAGACAAAATAAAGAGCAAAAGTAATGTTCTAACAAAGTTAAGAAATAAGAGTGAAAGTTCAAGAAAAGCAGAAATCAGATGATTAGGTTAGATCTACACTACAGACTCCTACCAGCACAGCTATGTCAGTGAAGGGTGTGAAGAGGTATGATCCCTGACTGCCATAGTTGTGCTAGCTGAAGTCCCTAGCCACACTTTTACTTGTATAGCTTGTTTTATTTGTGGGAGGTTGTTTCACAATACCAGTGCAAAGCACAGTATTGCTGCATCCACACTAGGATCACTTTTCCCAGTGTAATGGTGGTATTCCTATACCATTAAAGGACTCTAGTATAGATATGGCCTATGTTACATATTCTGATTTATTTTTTAACGTATGTGATTTAAGTATTGTATTTATACTATCATGTTCAAATTGTAGTGTAGATTTGAAGAAAGATTAAATTAATAAATTGCCAAAATGTACCTCAATATTTCTTAATACTAAATTCTTAGCATTCACTGTGACCATGGATTAAAAAACCAAAGTTAATCCCTGACCCTGCAAAGATTTACATACACGCTTATCTTTGCACATTGAGTAGTTCCAGAGACATCATGTCATTGCAGGATCAGGGCCTTAAATACTAACATATATTAATACATTATCATAGGTATTCTTCGACAAGAATTATAAAGCACCTTAGAAGCTCTCACTTTGTTTTTTTTCGATGTTTACGAATCACTGTTTCTTCAGAGGGCTGGGGATCCATGCCATTTCCAGTCTGAAAAAAGGATGTGTTGGGCACATTCTGCTGGGTGAAAGAGGTCTCAGATTCTGAAGATTTAAAACAAACCACAAAAATAATCTAATCTGCAAGCTAGTACAGATTAGGAAATGTATGCACTGAGACAGTCGTATAACTATAATGCAATCATTGTGAACAAAAAGCACCATGTTCGGAGTTTCAGTTAATACAAAATGTTAACACAGGATTATCTATAATTCTCCACTTCCAAAATTTGATGTTTCCATTAATCTTGTGACAATTTTTAACCTATTTATCTTTTAATATACTTTTAACAATTTAGGAATTGTGATTGTGTGCTGCAGTACGGTGCCAGTAAACTAAAGTGTTACATGTTTTCAAAGTAACACCTCCAAGTGTTTCAAAGGCAGCTTTCACAGCAAGGACTGGTGTGCTGTTTGTCTCATTAAAAATATTAAATGTGGGATCAGCATTGGAAAGCAATTCTCTATTTTTCACTCCAAGAAATAATCAAAGCTCTTACATTATTTTTTTATGATCACATAAAATCAGACCACCATTGGTCTTGAAATCTTTTAGCAGATGCAGACACCTCAACGTACTTGCTTTTGGACTGAAAATAGCTACTTGAATAATACAATATCCTAAAAAATATTACAAGATTTCTCTAATTTATTCCATTGTTAAAATCAGCAAATATTCAAATTCAAAAACTAGCACTAATGAAACACTGGAACATTAAATATTCAAAACTCAGGAAATTCCAAAATATAAGTTTCTACTAGAATACTGATTTGGCCCCAATTCACATTATATATGCATATATTTTATGGCATAGATTATAAAATCTAGCAGCAGTAATAAAATATGGCTCATATTTAACAAGATAAACAGGAATAGAATATACTACACAGGTGCAAGTCGGCAGAGTTATCACTCCAGTAGAAACCTGAACATCTAGAATTGCATGACGCTTGAGTGTTGGATTTCTCAACCTAATGCTTCATTGATATGAATTTTCACTCACTCCAAGGATTTACACCAGAGATGACTTTGGCCTGTCATCAATGCAGATGGACTTATTCTAATGGTTTTAGAAATAGAAACTTAAGAAGTGGGCTAGCAAGACTTTATGCTGCCAAGCCTAATTCCATCTTCCATCCTTTCTGTCACTCTCCACATACCAGGAGGCATTCTCTTCTTCTTGCGTTTCCTCTGAGGTGGAGCATCCTGAACCTCAGGAGTTAGAGGCTCGCTACTCTCAGATGGCCGACGGACAGCTGCATGAACAATACCCTCTGAAAAGCAGAATAAAAGAAAAAAAACTCAGTTCAATGGTAGCGTGAGCCTTCCTGGGAAGGCAACCAAGGCATATCTGCACTTTGTATTTCCTTCTCTGTTTAGCTACTAGGTGGAATTCATGTGGAACACACTTTATGAACAATCCACCTCCTCTGTGAGATGTTAAAGAATACCTGACAATATTTAAATCTATTACAGAAACAGGCATAGTAGTATTTACTTGAATTTGTGTTGAGTCCATTCAGAATTTAGAGCACTTAGTAAAATGATCAATTTGAAAAGCATCTCATGGCTGTGAATGACTGTCCATTCTCAAGGACCCAAGCAACTGAGGTAACCAGAAAGGGAAAAAAATAGCAAGAAAAAAATTCAAGCAATTTTTCAATGCTGTATCAGCACCTGCTGCTTTATCAGTAACCAGAATGGAGGGGGAAAAGCCCAATGACTTTAGTATTTAGACTATAATTCTAACTTATACCGCTTCAGAATAAAAAAATCATAATGTATAAAAACTGTGACAGCTATGGCAATTTCCTACAATATCTTTAGGAGATCTTATTGAATTACATTTAAATAGCTTTGGAGTCCATTGTAGTATAAATGCAAGTTAATGTATTATTGTGGGATCGTATGTAACTTTTCCAGGGGAGAGACATGGACAATGCAAACCCTGGGAAACGATAGGCACTTCAAGGACTATCTTCAAAAATGTAACAGAAAAGAAGAAACTTTCAGGACCAACAAAGTTAAGTGGGGGTCTTTTAGGAAATATATGGGGGAAGGGGAATGCAAATCCCCACGTCAGGACCTAACCTTTTGAAGCTACGCCCTGAGAGGAGAACCTCTGGCTCGCTGATTACCTATTCATGGTTTCTGAAGATCAAAGACTCAGGCTATATAAAGGAAAGGCTAACTGATGCATGGGGTGCTTGTTCTGAGGGAACAGCTGTTAAGAACTTATAACTACAGAAAAAAAACATGGTTGGATTTGAAGAACTGCTCATGTCCCAGAGCCCTTGCTGGAGTTTGGGGTGATCTCTGCTAAGTTTATTAGCATGCGTGTAAGTTCTTTTATTGTTTTTAATACATTTTCTCTGTAATGCTTTCACTATAAGAATATATGTACTTGTTTATATGTTTGTAGCCTCTGAGGAGAAAGCAAAGCAGGCCTGCTTAGGCAATCTGATTTGCTGGGGAATTCGTAGTGTAGGGAGAGAACTTTGCAGCCCAGAAAAGCCCCAGTCAGGAGGAAGAGAGACACAGGTCTCAGCCCAAGAGAGGTGATGGCTGGGGAGCCAGAACCCTAAAAGTGGGTGCCCTTGCCGGACCATGATGGGAAAATACAAGTGCAATTGCTTTGAACTGTGACAATAACCAATGAAGATGAATGAGCCAGAAAGACTAAAAGTTGCCCTGTTAGGAATGGTAGGTATGAAATCCAAATTGCTATTTGTCAGGAGATCAGCTACAGTACAGAGTTCCTCCAGCAATCCAAGTATATCTTTCACTCCTGGCAGCTTCTTACCCAGTGCATTTTTTCCTTTGGGCTTCTTTCTTTTTGGACGACTAAGTGGAATTTCATCTGTAGGATGTAAAATAAAGGAAGTAGTTACACACTATGGAGGAATCCATCCTCTCTTTCTAACAACTCTACCTCAACCAGAAAGGGGAATCCCTTTGGAAGTGAAGAAGATTGGAGTTTCCTAGCCCCCTTTTTACACAAGCCATGACAACTCCCATCAGCAGAGGAAAGAGAAGGAAGAGTAAAGCAAGGAGTGGGGAAGTAATAGAAAATAAAAAACCTCGCAGACTGCAACGTATGTTAAAAAAACACACATAGGGTGGGCTTTAAAAAAAAAGGAAATTATAATAATGATGCAACATAGAAAAAACTTCTCATGTAGAGCATAGTGACCAATTCTGGTCACTTCACCTCAAGACAGATATAGCAGAGAATGAAGTCCAGAGAAGGGCAACCGTGAGATGGGGCCTGCACAACGAGTGACTTTAAAGACTCTCTTCTCTTTTCTAAGCTAAATAACTCTCCTCTGAAAATAAGGCCCCTTTAAAGTGTCTCAAATTGACCACTCAACAGCATAAGGCACTTTCTAAAATCTTGACCCATGTACACACATTAAGCACTAAATAAATAAATTATAATAGTTAGCAATCAGCTTTTAAGCAAAACATTAAAGTGCAGGCACTAAACTTTAAAAATAGGATCAACTGAAGTCAACAGGAACTGTTAAACAGAAGTATATCCATGCACAGCACTTACTACTCAACAAACTCACCTTGGCTTCCACTTCAGATCCAAGATTTTGCCATTTAAGTTAAATTAAAAAAAAAAAGTCAGAAAGGAATGTAAAAAGAACAAGAATGTTAGTTTTGAATCAGTTACAACACAGAACTGTGTTAGAGCTCACAAAACGATTGGTTTATGGGGTTACAGAACTTACACATAAGAGCCATCCACCTCCCCTGAACCCTAATTCTTTTTATAAACATTTGAATATGACAAGGTTGAGGCTGCTTAGCAATAAACAAAACAATAATCTGTTTGCTTCTTGTGACTATGTACAGTTTCTTGATTTGTTAGCTGTTCATGAGATTAAAACTTTCATTTTACCTGGTTCTTTAATTGGAACCTGTCTTACTATCTGACAAAAACTAATGGGAGAAGTTATATGACAGTGAAGCAAGCAGCTAACAAAAAATATTCAGACTCCTCAATGGTGTTTATGAGCTACTATGTACATATGTCTTAAGGCACTGAAGAGGATTTTCGACTTAACAGACCATAACAACTGCCTTTCCTATCATCAAAATCTATCTTGGTTCATGGATCATTGAACCCTCAGAACCATAACCTTTCCATCTTTTGCATCAATATGGTATATATAGATTTTATTATTTATACCACACTCAAAAGTATGGTAGGCACCAGGCTGGTTTAAAAAAGTCTCTGCCCCAAAGTGCTTGCAATTTAAAATATAGACGAGAGACAGCATTCAACAGCAATAAACAATGAGGCAAGGGCCAGGAAAGGAGAACAAGGGGTTGAAAATAGAAAAGTTACTGAGACTGAAATAGTTTTTAAAATCTTTGATGCATTTTTCCCCCTCCAAATGACAGAAGCAATGAGATATTATGAATTAAACTGTTTCCCAATCTATTTACAATATGAAACTTCTTTTGTACTATATGATTGGAAAACAAGCATCCGATACCCCAAGACCTCTGGAAAGTCAAAGGAGGAAGTTACACATACCCAAATACTTACATTTTTAAGGTACTTTTTAAAAATTAGTAAAAAAAAAATTGTTTGCTGCTAAGCTAAAACTTACATAAAAATGTTAGTCTATTGCAAATTTTTGTGATGAAATACAAAACTAAAATAAAGCTAGGTTTATAATGAAATTGCTGACACAGCCTTAACCCTAGCTTCACAAATGTAAGTTTAATTTTATTTTAAACTTTGTTTAGCACAGAATTGAAAGCATATTTGTCTCTTTAAGACACTTAGCAAATCTCACTGAAGTCAGTGAGAGCTTTATGAGATTTTTGTTGAGCTAATTTTTCTTAATTTCACATTTTTCAAGAATATTCCCGTTCACAAAAATTACCATATTTCATATAATCAGCTAATCTTACCTTGGAACTGGGGGAAGGGCACGGGGTGGGCACTGAAATAAAAATCTTCCATCAGTATGTTATGAAACCATCTCCCTTCTAAGCCCTTGCTAAGCCATTTCACAGAAACCAGCTCATTCCAAGCATGACCGACACATCCAACAAATATTAAGTCTTCTGAAAGGCGATTCTGAACATCACATACATAAGCAAATGTACACAATTGCATTGAGATCCTTGGATGGAAGGTGCTATGTAGAAATGTAAAATAGTATCTAATACACATTTGATGTCAATGCCTAAATTCTGATATGTGCTGAATTTTCGAGAGATGCTATAGATCAGGGGTTCTCAAACTAGGGACGCCTCCGGGGGTCACGAGGTTATTACATGGGGGGTCACGAGCTGTCAGCCTCCATCCCAAACCCCCTTTGCCTCCAGCATTTATAATGGTGTTAAATATATTAAAAAGTGTTTTTAATTTATAAGGTGGGTCACACTCAGAGGCTTGCTATGTGAAAGAGGTCACCAGTACAAAAGTTTGAGAACCACTGCTATAGACACCTCAGAGGCATATGTAGCTGTTCTCTTTAAATATTTTTACTTCTCTTATAATAAACTACACAAACAGGAAAGTTAATTCATCACTCCAGTCAGTTATTGAAAATATTATCTACAAAAACACTGCCAAAAATTAGGCATTTAATATCAACATATTTGCAGATTATAGTATGAAGAGTTGCGGGTACTTTACTAGTGAAATTATAAATTTAGAGAGAGAACAGTCCAACATGATAAAATGTGCAATAAAACACAACCTTTTCAAATTATTTTGACCATAAAGTCAAAACAAAATTAAAACTACAAAATAATAAAACCTCTTGTTAACAAACTAGCTGAAGCATAGCTCACACACCTGATACATTTTTCTCACCTAGAAAAAATGAGGCAGCTTAGATTCAGATTTTGTATTAAATAAGTGAACTGGACAAAAGAAAAAATCCCCATGCTCCAAAGACTTTATTTCAATTAAAAAAATACACAGATAATGTAATTAAAGGCTCCCTAGAACTGAACTCACCACTTGTTTCTTCCCCATATCATTCAAAGTCAGTCCTTGAGAGAGACACTGAACAGCTTCCTAAACCCGACAGTGTCGACTCTGACCTCAGCTAATTCTGCACTAAAAATAAACTTCTGATAGACAGGATTAGCTGGACATGAACCTTGCTGTCCCTGATATCGCTCTTATTTAAGTCTATGGGAGTTTTGCCATCAACTTTCCAAATGGAACAGCAGTAGGTCTTAATGCTGCTTGCAATTAGAAATCCAAGATCCCATGGCCCTTTACTCACAAGAGTAATCCTTATCCATACTAGTTTAATTGAAGGAAGTGGGACGTCTTGTGGGAGTGATGGTTTGCAGGATTGGCCTCAAGTCTCTGTCCTGAGTTTTGGCCATGCAGAGACTGACAGTAAATAATATTTTCATGCAGGTGGGGCTGACCCCATCAATCAACATCACCTAGCTAGCTGCTACTTACCTGTTACAAGGGAGGATGGAAAGAACACTGGAACAAGTCTATTCTCTTGCTACCTCAGAAAAGTATCTTTATTGTCTAACCAGGAATGCAGAGCAGACAGGATCTTGGTTTTTAAGATCACATCCAAAAGTGACCCAGGCTAAATTGCACTGAACTGAATTTATTTGCCATAGAAGTCAGCACTGTCAGGATTTAAACCAGTGGTTCTAGGGAGTATAGGTACTACAAGTCCTGAGGATTAGACCATTATTATTTTTATAGCTCTTTACATCTTCAAAACACATTACATTGATTTCAAAAAACCTATGGTATAAACATATTTATTATAAGGATAAGGAAACCAAGACAGTAAGAGAGACTTGCCCAAGCCCACAACAGAACAGGGATCAGAAATTCCTGGCTGCCAGTTACATGAGACCATGACTATTTTCATGTGCAAAACTTTGCTAGTTATTTGATCAATGAAGGGGGGTTAATATGTCCTCTTGGAAAATGTCACTCTTTTTGGTCTACATTGGGAGGGGAAGGGTTGCAAAAAAAAAAAAAAAACCTAGGTGAACTCCAATAGCGACAGCACCAGTGTAAACAACAATGCTCCCATGAGCACTAACATTCTTAATACAGTGTTATGTAGATCTGAGTAGGGTTAACAACACTGTTAAAAAAGCTGGTGACCACAGGAGCTTGGTCTACGCGAGGGTTCCCAATATTGCTATAACTAGGATGCAACTGTAAAACACACACTGCCTGCTCTGCTATTCCAGCAAACTGATTTTAAGCACTGCTTTTAAAGCTGCAGTCCGCTAACACGGCCATGCTGGCCAGCTCGGATGGGGTGCAGAACTTTACTGAAAGGGCTTTTTAAAAAAAACACTTTTCAAGATTGGTCTGTACCATGAACAGTTCTTAAACTGCAGCTTTTAATCAAGATCGGGGTCCCATTTGCACAATTGAGGTAGCAGAATCCATATTCAACACCGTTACTTAGCACGGTTGAAAATGCAGGACAGGTTGTGGCCTCAGAAAGCTCAGGAGGATTAAAAGCCTCCATATAGCCATCTGTGTTACACACTGAACTGGGGCTGAAGGGGGGACACTGGGACAGGGAGATAGGGTGACCAGATGTCCTGATTTTATAGGGACAGTCCTGATTTTGGGGGCTTTTTCTTATATAGGCGCCTATTACCCCCCACCCCGTCCTGATTTTTTACACTTGCTATCTGGTCACCCTACAGGGAGATGTCAAAACCCCTGCCTCCAACCTGAGAGGAAAAGGCTACAAAACTCAAAAGTAACTCTGAGAGTTCACCCTCCCATCCCGTACACTCCCCCCATGTGGGGGCCTTACCTTCCCACCCTTTCCCCAACCCCTCCCCC